GTACCTGGAACTTCTTGGACCTTGGGACTAGTTAAGTCTAGAAACATCTCTATGGCATCTCTACCATTTTTGCAGGAGTGAATCTTTTAGGTGAAGGATGAGTTTATAAGTAGCTTACAGAAGCTAATAAATGATTTTTTGATGTTTTGGTAGTTAATTATTTTAGACTGTTAGGTAAGTAAAGAGGCTGCTTAAAAGTATGGCTTGTAACCATCAAAGCCACTTTATTTTGGCTGTGTTTACTCACACTTCAGTGTGTGTTGCAGGTATGCTAACAGTCATTAAAAATTTATTAACCTGGTAGAAACCATCTGTAAATGCAAGCTTTGTGCAAACTGAGACCTTTTCTTCTCTTATTTCTGCTTTCCTCCTCCTACTGAGAGAGGTCTGCTTGAGGCAGCTGGCATAGCTGGTGGGGAAGAAGCAATGTTTCTTCTCTGTACTACACTGAGCTTAGAGCCAAGGGGAGGACTTCATTTTTCTTGTCTTGTCAGTAACTAAATCCTTTGCGGTTTTACTGTTCCCGAAATAATAAAGTCAGTCTGTAGCCAAAGGAAAGCCCTTCTCCATTCTCAGGAAAGCACAAGGATGAAGTAACCTTGGTCTTTCCCAGGCTAGCAAGCAAACGTTTTCTGCTGGTGGCTTTCCCTGGCTGGGAGAGCAGAAGCATCTTCCGCATATAAAACTCTTACTGTGGAAGTAACAACAATGATACCAGAGTCCATAATGAAGATCTGTTGTGGTAGTATTGGCCAAGGGAAGACAAGCCATCAGTTTTCCATGTAGAATTTGCCAAAGCAAAATTAATTCTCATGTTCCAGTGAGAATCTGCCCTTTCTAAGCTTTGATTTCATAACAAACCCTGTAAAAATCATGTAAGGCTCCTTTTAACTTCTCCCTTCTCCTCCGCAGTCTAATGAATAAGAGGTCATTGTGTGTGCAAAACAATGCTACTATTCAGAAGCAGAAAGGTACTAAAGCGTCACGTCTGTAAAGGGGCAGGAGACTCTTCAGGTTCTTCCTTTCCATATCTTGCTTAGAAAAGGAAGAAGACCCTTTTTTTCTTCTGTGCCTTCACTGATGTGCAAGAATTCAGTGAATGCACAAGGTAGCGCTTACAAGGTAGAGCCCTGCAGAAATACTTTTTGGCCAAATTCGAGCTAGTTCTTGAATCACTGTTTGATTGTAATAAGAACATATATTATGGGCTTTTTCTCCTCTTGGGAAGTTTGGGCTGTTTTACAAACTGTTGCTGCTGAGTGTTCCTAGGTTCCACCGATTGCCACCAGGATTTTAGGACACTCAGCATCTCTTGATGTCAAGCACCAGTGGAGGAAATCATAGGAAGTCCTACCTCTACTCTCTGTTGCATCAAAACAAAAGGAAGAACACTTCTGCAGTTTCATGGTTTGCCATTTCTTCATTAGTTATTTCTTTTAGCCCTGGCTGCTGTATGTTGGAGGGTTTTAGAATATTTCAGAGACACAAGAAATAACAGGAAAGATTTTATTTTATGCCAAGAATTGTTTGATAAATTTTTCTCAAATCTGTTGGCTCACTACAATCTAAAAATGCTAAGAAATGTATACAGAAAGATCTGTGAGAAGTGGTATAATTATTTCAAGCACCTCGTCAGTCTTGGGGCCAATAGATTTATTGTTGTTTAAGCCAGATGTAAAGACCTAATTGTGAGACCTGTTCCTCACATGAATGTTCCTTATGCTCCTGGCTACTTACGTTGACTTCCGTGTCACTATATCTGTGTTATATTTACAGAGCTGATCTTTAATGGGTAGCAGTCTGTCCTTATTACAGTGGGGGAAACCAGGTAATTACATGAGGGCAGAATCTGAACATAATCTTTCATACAGAAAGCAAAGAAAGTTATTTTTCTTTTTAAACAAACCAACCAATATAGACACGCTATTTGGAGGGATTTTGTTTTTTGTTTTTAATTCACAGTGTATTTGACCTTCAAAAGGACATGTAGCAATGCAATTCAGAGGTGTGCTGCCTACAAGCTCAGCTCCTTGTTGTGTCTGTGCAGCTGAGAAAAGTGAAAACAATGAAGCTCAGATACTTTGAGTTCCCAGTGAGAAAAAAGAAAACTGGCAGCCTTTTCATGCTATGTTGTTAAATATCTCTATTTAAATGCAAATGATCATCTGACACTGCCAAAGTCAGTCATGTACCAAGAAGGAGGCGTGCAAGTTTAAAAAAAAACTATTTTTGAAGATGTTGGACCACTTTTGTTTCCAAGAGGAGTGGGGTTGGCTGAATACATTTTTGGTTGTGTACCAAGGGTCAGCTCAGCACTCGGGAGTTTCAGATACGTAGATTTTTATTTTAAGTGTAGCTTTTGCAGAAGCATGGGTGGCCTTTCTAGTTGGAGATCAGTTGGAGGAGCGCTTGAAGTTTCTTCTGTGCTGTCTCACTGCATGTGCTGCAGTGGAAAGCCCAATGCATACAGTATGTTTTTGAAGGGGGTAGAATCCACAGACAGAAAGAGGAGGAAACAGCCAAGCTGGTACATTGTTCTGCCTCAGGAATATGTGGTTACAAATGATCTGTGCAGCGCTTTATACTGCATCCAGCTGCAAGACTTCTGGCTTTCTCCCTAAACTCCAGACCCCTTAAGCTAGACAGGCACGAGATTTGACCACGAGCAAGGATCAGGCATAAAATGGAGTCTTGGCAAGAGAAAGACTCTGTTTTCCATGGGTTGTGGTTCCTCCCTGGCTGCCCCCATCTGAGCAGGGATGCTCAGGAGAAGACCAAGCAAAGTAGCTAGCAGAAAGGTTATTTGGATGTGCATCCAGGGCCCCCTGCTCTTTCTTCTTCCCACTCCTGTTGGTCAGGGATAGCCAGTTTATAAAACCCACTTCCTGGGGATCATTTTTATGCAGTTGGGTGAGCACCAAAACCAACAAACAAACTGTATCTTATCAAGTCTCCTCTGTTAAAATTTTTCCCTGAAGTTTGTTTACCTTACATTCTTTTTAAACTTCTATTCTTGTCAGTCAACATGGATGTATTTGCTTTCTGCACAGGGTTCCAGTGGTCTTTTAATCATCATCATAATCATTATTACTGATTAAAGTTGCATTATTCTTGCCAGACGGAGTTGTCTCCTTGTCAGCCAGAATGAGTTTGCGTTATGTAGTTACAGTACATTTGTGATCTAAATAAACAGGTGGCAGAATGTGACAGCAAATTATGTGGTGGTGATGTCAGCAACAATGCTTCCCAAGTATAATTGCTTTAAATGAACATGAATGCAGCAAGAAGCCGGTAGTTTGAACAAGGTAGTTGGCATACAGTGTGGTAATAACCATACAACATCATCAATAGCGCCACGAATGTAGTGTGAAGGAATGCTAACTTTGAAAAAGTAGTGACAGAAAGTCTGACTTTACACGACTATCACAGTGGGTTTGCTGAGCTCTATAACATCTTGTAGCTATAAGCTCACTGCTAGCAGAGAAGCAGTGTTTTCTTTTGGGGAGATCCAACCTTAGCTGAGAGACATTCTGTGTTTTCTCCAATGCGATCTCCCATCAGGGCGTGTGGGAAGTATTTGATTTAGTGTAATGGAGCGGTGTTAACAGCAGCTGCTGTTAATACAGGACTGAAAGTTAAGCTGCTGGATCAGGTTCAAAGGGGAAATTTGCTTAATAGAATCTCAGCAGTATTCAGTGATGAATAAAAGTTTAATCAAAGATGAGTTTAGGTTCCAGCGATAAGGACTGTGCGTAGTCTTTACCAGTGCTATTTCTGTGTTTCTCAGTTCATCTCTTCAGGTCTGGCTCGGTGTAAAGGGCTTGGCTGCCTGCACCTCAGGCAGTGCCACACCTGGGTTTTAGCAGCTGAGGTGCAGTAAGGCAGGCTCTCATGCCTGCTCCGGGAGCATTCAGGAGGGAGAAGCACCGAGAGCAGAAGCGTAACTGAGCTCTGGCCACGTCTAGGTGGGAGCTGCAGAATAAGGTCTCCCTTCGCTTACAGTCAGGACTGGCGTGGGGCTGTCTGAGTGTTTCCTCGAATAATGTAAGATGCAGCCAGAGGAGAATGTGCCGGTCCTTCTGCCTGCTTTCCATTTCCTCGCACAGCAGTCAGCATTTAGCCATGAAATGGAAGATGCGAACTCGACTGCCGCCTCAGTCCACGTGGGTTCCAGTCACTAATTACTAGGTAATTTATAGCAGTTTATAAAAGGTACCATTGCTAACTCTTCCTCCTGCATCTGTGTTTTACAATGAAAGCACCTATGGTTGCTTTTCTCTTGAGGGCCTCAACCTGTCAGCATGTGGAAGGACAACACAGAGCATCACCTGAAGATTCTGAAGGAACATGAGGTTCCTTCAGAAGCATAACTGCAGGCAGCTAGAGAATCAGCAGTCAGGAAAGGAAAGGTCCCGTGAGCTTAGCTGTCGCTGGGGTTAAGCTGCTGCACAGGGCACAGTTCCTTTCTTTTACTATGGTATTGGACATGAAGACTATGCAAGCTTTTGGGGGTGAGGGCTGGCTTTTAGTGAAAGGCACCGCCTGTATCGCCCCATTGTTCAGATGAAATTGAACATGAGAGAGACAGACAGATCGATAGATAGATAGATAACCTCTCTAGCACAGCCATCCCTTTTCCTGTGGAGGAATGAATAGGTGTTACATAGGATGTAGAGAGCGATAATAATAGCACTGGGTGATGAAATTGTTCCTCGGTTCCTTATTCATCTTTTTCTGGTTTTAAAATGTCCCAGTCATTATACATAGCAGAGAGGCGTTTAGGGTATAAAGCACTTAGGTAAGTAGCCATATTTCATACATGTTTGACACTAAATTCTGGCTATTTATTTGGGCCTTTTTGCAGGCACTGTTTCAGCCTTGGTAAAGCATAAATACCCTCCAAAGACAAGATGGACCCTCCTCTTCAGCAGTTGCTGGATGTTGAAGAAATGAAAGGAAGCCACATTTCTAATCTCTCTCGCTTTCTGTCTGTACTGCAGGTGGTCGATGCCATAAGTCCTGCACAGGCCGGTGCTGGGGACCCACAGAGAATCACTGCCAGACCTGTAAGTATGCAAGACTCTGAGAAACAAAGGGCTGAAAAATAATGTAACAGGGATTCCACTTCTTTTTTAATTGTGAAGGGATACTATAAATTCTGGTTTTAGTATAATTCTAAAATATTTCAAGTTTTTCCCATATGTTTTTACCAACAGATGATCTGCTTTTTTTCCACCTATGTGAATTTATGTTTTTTATTTCCTCCCTTGTGCTTTCTAAAAATGCTTAAGTTAACTTGAATTTTCTTCTCACTTCTTGGTGGCAACATGGAGCATGGCTCCTGAGATTATTGATGGTTATTTTGGAATACACTGAACTGAATACTGTAGGAATAGGAAAAAAAGTAGAAGGCAGATTTGGAGATCTTTAATGACAGCCTGCCGCTGCAAAGTTCCTAATGCCAAAATACTATTAATTTCAGTGGGAGCCTGGGAATATTAGTTATCTTGCAGAATTGTTCTCTTCATAATAACTCAGAATGTATCTGAGTTCTACTGAAAGAGAGAATAATAGTTTTTTGGTGAAGGAAGTAGTAAGTGAAGGGTTTTTCACAATGTCTGTCTGTCCTCTTGAATTTAGAGAGCATTAAAATGAATAAAAAAGAACTATATTGAGAGAGTTTCTTCTTTGTGTGCTTTCAGCTCCTTCAGATAGGCACTAAAGAGCTAGAAGTGCAGTCACAATATTAGCAAATACGAAAGAGGAGAAAATTGAGAGCTGTCTTTTCCTACAAGTTTTTTCTTTTTTCCTCCTTAAAGGAATATAGCTATCCTTTACTTTTCTGTTCTTTGAAATTTAGGAGGGTGGAAATTGGTTGCGTTTACTGGAGTCACTCTTCCTGGAAAATGCAATTGTTGCTGATATCTCCCCGAGAGAGCACTGCTGTAGCTTGCGCTTGTTTCCTTGGCTGAGTGGTAGATAGGAGGAAGAGACTGTGACAAGTTAACGCTATCAAGCGAATGCACCAACTCTCATAGCCCAGTGTCATCTCCCTTTTTTGTTGAAAATACTAAGAACGATGCAACTATGCCTTTTTGGTTTTGGGGGTTTTCTTTTACTACTGGCAGACAGCTTGACACGAACACTTTATGAGTGAGCATAAGCAGGAAATCCAAGCTGACCTCCTGTCTGTGGCACAGGCGACAGAGGTGCGCACCTGCAGAGGCACTGCCACCGTGCCGGGCGCAGCTTTTCGTTCAGGCACATCAGCTGATATTGCTGGCAAAGCTGATGACAGTTACAGCTCTGCCATGTTAACATGTTCTTATATTACTGCTTCATATTGAGCTTTATCTCTGGGTGTGATTAAAAACGCTTTAGGACAGATTGTAGGAATAGCTGCATAATGAACCAGGTACAGTGATGCTGAGCCGGTTCTTCTTTGTCTGAATCAAACCAGCACGTTTCCTTCCTTTGCTGGCAGTCTTCCTGAAAGCGACAAAGGAGTCTCTGCTGAGAAGGCCTCCTTACATCATGGTTAGGTGCTGAAGTAGATAACGGGAAGGGACTTAAACCCTAGCTGACGAAATTATTTTCTGTCATGGTGAGGTTAGAATAAAGAGGCCTGTTTGTCTGTTAAAACTAGTAACTCTGTAAGAACCTAGGTAATTCACACAAACTTGGGTAGACTTATTCAGGCCTTATGTGGTTAGCTGATCCAAGAATACTATAAAACCTTGGCACTTCCATAAGGATGATACAATCCTGGCTCAGGCCTTTGCGCCAGCAAGCAGAGGCTCCAGCCTTATATAAAGTCGGAAAGTCCAGCTGGACTCTGTGTGGCTGCAGAAGTCCATGTGGCAGGATCAGGTCCCATGGTCTCAACCCCTACAAAGCACTGCTCTCAGATAAGGGAACTGATTTGGTGGATTAATGTAGTAATACCACAGAGAGCAAAACTTATCTGCAGTATTGTGAAGTCAGAAGCTTAGCAGAGCTGCACGGTAGGTTTGCTCCGGGAGTGACAGCTATCTCTCTCTTCACAGTGACTGCCCTCTCAAATCCAAACAGTAGGGACAGGCTAAGGCACAACCGTGGATTTAAAATAATAAACTATGGAAAGACATATGGCATCTAAGTTCCAGGGGAATACACAGATCGCAGATTTCTAATTTGAAATAGCTACTCTCCGGCCTTTTACCTTCGAGCATACTCTGCAGCCTCTGATTGCGGGGACAGGAGTTAATTTTGTATCATATACTTCCTCTTTGCCTCCCTGACCTCACTGCACCTCAGGTAAATAGCAGGATTTAAGGAAAAGGCTGGCGATGGGAATTTCTTCACTGCACTTTCTCAAAATGTGGTTTTCTGCAAACCGTTTGAAGCCAAGAATGAGACTAGGAACTGCAAACATAAAAATGCAAGTGTTGCTGTGCTTAATTTCTGACTTTAAAAAACATGCTTGGCTTTCAAGTTTATACGTGTTATTCCTAGATACAAGCTGGAGATAGGATGAATGGTATCACAAACATAGCACATACCTTAACCTAATCACTCTGGGGACGCACATCTTTCACACATGTGTAGGAAGACACTTCAGCAGTACTACATCCCAATGTCAAAGTATTTTGTTCCTAGAAACAACTCAGAGGTACATCTGCATTTTAATAATTTTTTTTTTATTGATTCACTGACGCAAAAAATTCTTATGAGCCCCCCTCCCACGGTAAGATTTAAATTATTTTCCTGGGAAAGGATAAAAAATAAAAGATCTTAATCTGTGTCTTTCATTTCAAATTACATATGGAAAAAAATGAAAATCCTTTTGTTTTTTTTTCAATGAATATCATCTACCTAGTTTTTTCTTCTGTTGCCTTCTAGCAATGTCTCTCTGTACTTCTAATTCTATCTGAAACAGCAGCTGCATCTAACTCTGTTCTAATGTCTCTCTAAATGTGACAAGAAAATTTATGTATTTAAGAAGACAGTTAATAGGAAATTTAAAATAAGCTGTTCTATCAGAAGGTAGAGAAGATGTAACTTCAGGGTACTGTTTTATGCAGTCGACAATCCATTTTTATTTTATAATTAAAATATTAGTAAATATTAATGTTGAACATTTAAAAGCTAGACAGTATTCTTTGTTTCAGTGTCAGGAAAGGCTAATGTGGAAATCCTTTTGAAAAGAATCTATTTTTCAAAGAGTATTGGGCACCCACTAAATAAAATGTAAACCGCTTTAAAAAAACACAGGAACAAATGCTTTTGGAAGTTGCTAATCAAATTTGAAAATCTGTGGTTAGGTTGTTACTGGTTTTGCTGCTGATGTCTGTTAAGAGTTTGGGTTGTTTTTTTACTTTTTGTATGAAATGCAATTGAAACTTTTACAAATTGAATACATTATTAAAATGATAGATTATGTACTTTGTCAGATGAAAGTAACTGAAAGAAAAGACAGAAATCTAAATTAAAATATAGAATTGTAGAATATCTCAAGTTGGAAGGGACCCATAAGGATCGTAGAGTCCAACTCCCTCCTCCTCGCAGGACTACCTAAAACTAAATCATGCGACTAAGAGTGTCATTCAGACACTCCTTCAACTCTTGACGGGCCCAACTAAGGCGATGCAAAAAGGCAAATAGCCTTTACATCAAACCTGAAACATAAACATTCAGCAACTGCAAAATGCTGCGTGACCATGTATGTGTACAGGAGTTGAGCCTGATCATAATTGTATTTATACAGTCTTTGTGCAGCTGATGTCGCTGAGAAAAAGAAGGTGCAAGGCAGTAAATACCCAATTAGAGCAGCAAAAGGCAAGCGGGAGCCTGGTGGGGGAGACAGAAAGAGCTGAACCAGCGGCTTAGATCAATCAGGGTAACCTAGCAGTATTTGCTTGGAGCCAGCACCTTTAATTAAAATCCTTGTATTTCTTTAATAACTTTGCATTTCATAAGACTTTTTCATTGATTTCAGTTATTTCACATTTTTTCCTTCATAGTTTATAGTGCCCTGACATAATTTAAGAGAAACAATAAGAGAGACTGAATAATTGCACACATATATGAAGTGGCCATTCCACCCAGTCCCCAACACAGCTTACTGCTATATTGCAGTGAAGTGCTAGTAGAGATTGACACTCAGTGTTCTGCACTCCCCCAGAAGCCCGTCCTAATGCGTGTGACATTTTTTCAAAGGCCTTGGTGTTTGCCACTGTCCTTTGCTGTCTCAGCCCCAACTGTGACAGTTCTGTGCAGCCGAAGCCTTAGATTTCTTGTGATTCCACAAAGGGTCAGCAGGCGTCAGGTGGGCAGTGGTGCTGGCCCTCAGAATGTCCGGTTTGAAACTTGGGGCCTCAGCTGTGATTAGTGAAGGCTCTCCTCACAGTTACGTTGGGTGAAGAAACGAGTATCCGGCACCTGAAATGCCTCTGGGATGCCAGCCCAGAAGTCCTGGATCACATATGTGTGTCTGGGCTGCAAGAAGGACGTGACATGAGGGCTCCTCATCATCCCTGTCCACCAGCTCCCCTGTGAGAAGTCTCTGCGCCAGGTAGCGGGAGGAGGAGGTCAGTATTGCTCCACTCTTCTTTCTCAGCTTGCAACAGGGTTGCTCTGCATTGATGCTGCCTGTCCACAGCAGCTGCCCAGCTCCCCGCCATCTGTCCCCACTCTCTTCTCTGCACCATCTCGAGCCTTGTGTCCCCTCTAGGAGCCACTCGCCAGCGTTCATCAGCCTGAAGATATAGTTTGATATCTTGGGTAAAATTTACCTTTACACTTCATTCTTTTGGATAGGTCTTGAGTCACAGCTATAAAATCAATTGATTGCATTTGGGGGAAAGTTCTGGGGGAAGAGCTTGCCGTCTTTTTAAACTAGTGCAGCTATGTACATTTTCCATAGAGTTACCCTGTGATAATGATTGCAGAAAGCGGAACTGCTGAATTATGTTTATTGGAATCTGGACAATCAGATTGTTTCACAACTTCAAACAGTATATAGTATCGCCTCATATTTGTTCTGCTTTGGGGAAAACCTTTCCTTGCAAACTGTCCTTAAAAACATTCAGAGCCCACTAAGCTCTTTTCTGTCTTGGTGTGTGGTGCCACTGAAGATACCTGATGAGTCCTCCTCTGAGCGGGACCCTCAATGGCGATTATAAAGCAAATACAGTGTACAACGAACCAGAAGATAAATAGGGTATGTTGTAGTCTTTTCCTAGAATGACATGTTGGCATTTCTGTTGTCATTGTTTGCTTTCCCGGTAAAACAAACAATTAGGGAAGAACAGCAACAAACCTTTGCTGTATTTGTAAATTTTGCAAACCACTTCATCGTTTTCTAGTCTTCAGGAAAATTCAAGATGTTCCCTATCCTGAACAGCATGGTAGAGGCCCTTATTAAGTTGGTGCGTAATCATAAGCAGCGTATGCTTTTTGAAGGCACTGTGTTTAAGTATAGTGCTGAAAAGGGGGCCCAGGTCAGCCCCGGTGTGGGGAATGCTTTTGTTTTTTTTTAAACAGGAAACATACTCGGGAACAAATTATTGTAGTCTTTTAAAAATATAGGAAATTAAAAAAAAAATGACAATATCTGTAACTTTATACATTGCACAAGCCTTACAGTGGGGCTCTAGAGGAGGGCGAATAATTGAGATTTTTTTGTCCCAGCCTAATAGTGTGAAAACTGCTGAAAAGATGTCAGTAAATTGCTTAGATCCACTGCTGCTGTTGGAGCTCGTTTCCCACTGCTGTTTAAACTACGCAGCCCAGGGAAGCGCTATTATCTGCAGCTCAGCTTGAAAGAAGTGTGTAATCCTGCAAATTGAGACCTTGGCTTGCTAAAAGGAATAGCTCGTGAGCTGACAAGAAGACCGTGCCTTTTCTAAATACGCCTGGGGGCGGTCAGCGTGGTTTGTGGTGACGGACCCCAGGCACAGGAGAGGCAGGGAATTCGCCTCCTCAGGGCTTGTTTTTGGGGAGGCAGCAGTGGCATGTTCCCAGTACCTCTTGCAGCCGCTGGTGTGGGACACGCTGCTGGGCCTTGGCCTCTTTGCCCCTTTAAAAGTCTGCCAGGAGATGTCCTCCGCAGGGAAGCAATGGTTATATAGTCATGGTGGACATCTTGACCTGCTCCCAACAGCAGCCGGCACTGAGGTAAATAAATTACAAATGAATTAATTAGGTGGCTTGTACTAATAGTCTACACAGAGGTGTTTTACACCAAAACTTTCCAGGTTAAGCAAAACATTAAATTGCTGTGGAACAACAGCGAGGAATGTTTTTTAACAGCATCCTGACAGTGAGCAGCCGTGCTGCGGTATCATGTCCTCTTCTCTTTTTCTGTTTAAACAGCGTTGGTTGTATCAATCTGAAACTTGGCTCCTTATCTTTCTGCAAATTAAAAAAAAAAATGAAAAAAAAAGAAAGGAAATACGCTGCTGGAACACTAATTTTTTTAGGGTGTGATAGGTGGGGTTGGTGCTGGTGAGCCTGCGGAACCTTCTAGAAGGGTGCAGGTGTGGTGGGGAGGTGCACTGAGCATGCTCAGTGGGGGGGCAGCCATTTTAGTGCCACCTGTG